TGTGGAGGCAGGCAGGACGACGAGGACGACAAGGATTCCAATAATGATATTTAATGTAGACACAACAAGGCAGATTCCGGTAGGTGAGACACACACACTCGGGGTAACATTCACAATAACCGACAACTAAGGCTCAGACAGACAGGAACTAATATAGGGTGGATAATTACTGGCAGACAGGTGATCACAATGAGGGTAATTAACTAATGATAGTATGGCTAAACCAACAAAAGGGGAAGAAACCACAATAAACATTTTCGAGGAGCGGCCACTGGAGGGTGCTTTCTAGGAGCAGGCACTGGAGTGTGCTTTCCTGGGCGGAACTGGGGATCAGGAGACCTTCCTGGGCTGAACTGGGGATCAGGAGCCCTTCCGGGGCTGAACTGGGGATCAGGAGCCCTTCCCGGGCTAAACGAGGAATCAGGAGCCCATCCTGGGCTAAACTGGGGATCAGGAGCCCTTCCCGGGCTAAACGGGGAATCAGGAGCCCTTCCCGGGCTTAACGGGGATTCAGGAGCCCTTCGCGGGCTTAACTGGGGATCAGGAGCCCTTCCAGGGCTTAACGAGGAATCAGGAGCCCTTCCCGGGCTAAACGGGGAATCAGGAGTCCTTGCCGGGCTTAATGTGAAATCAGGAGCCCTTCCCGGGCTTAACTGGGGATCTGGAGCCCTCCCCGGGCTTAACGGGGAATCAGGAGCCCTTCCCGGGCTTAACTGGGGATCAGGAGCCCTCCGTGGGCTTAACGAGGAATCAGGAGCCCTTCCCCGGCTAAACGGGGAATCAGGAGCCCTTCCCGGGCTTAATGTGAAATCAGGAGCCCTTCCCGGGCTTAAACCCTGGGCTTAACGGGGGAACAGGAGCCCTCCCTGGGCTTAACTGGGGAACAGGAGCCCTCCCTGGGCTATACTGGGGAACAGGAGCCCTCCCTGGGCTTAACTGGGGATCAGGAGCCCTCCCCGGGCTTAACTGGGGATCAGGAGCCCTACCCGGGCTTAACTGGGGATCAGGAGCCCTCCGTGGGCTTAACGGAGGATCAGGAGCCTTCCGGGATCAGGAGCCCTTCCCGGGCTGAACTGGGGATCAGGAGCCCTTCCTGGGCAGAAGGCTCCGGTGGAGCTTCGGAGGACCCCGGGGGATCTGGGGTTAGGCAGGCGGTAAGAGCCCTTGGAGTGGCATGTGGAGGTTCTCGGCGTGGGGTGAGCTGGGGAGACGCGGCGCGTTCTAGCGGGAGTTGGATGACGAGGCTTGGGGAGTTTCTTTACTTCCTCAATTTCCAAATATTCCTGCGGGAGTTGGATGACGAGGCTTGGGAACATTCATTACCTCCTCAACTTCCACATCAGAGCCATTTAGGAATAACACGAGATTAATCAGCTCGAGCAAAGGAAAATCACCCGCAGGGAGATCGCAGCGGATTGTTTCGCCATCCAACCCCAGCTGGAAGCACGCACCTAGAGCGGCGTCGTGCCAACTCACCTGGTTGGTGATCTCGAGGAAACCCTCCACATATCACTCCAACCCCTGACCGCCCTGCCGCACAGTGAGTGACTGAAGGAGCGTGCTTTTGAAGGTGGCTTGATTGGTGGCAGCAGGTGCAGGTGATCAGAATCCAGGTGAGTGAGAATTGGTGATTGTGAATGTGAACTGGTGTGAGCCGAGGAGGATTCTGGGATATGGAGTCTAGAGCTGGTGACAGATGACAGATACTCCCTGACAATCATGAATATTTGAATCTATTTTTGAATTATTCGAAAAATAATGCACACCCGAGGTGTAACGGTGTAACTCCGCTTCGCGTCGTGGCTGCATCACCACCTCGGGTGTGCATTATTTTCTAATAATTCAACTGCCCGGAGTCAATTATTCCTTACCTGTATATTTTCATTGTTTTTTTTGTTTAGTTTTTTTTTATCCAAGGTTTTATAACATTATATTTTAATGTTTTAAAGTAAGTTAATTTTGAATACAATTAGTTAAACATTAACCTGAAGAAATCCTGATGTTCCTGTCTGACTTGTTTAAACACACCTGATCATAAACTCCACCCTCTCACAGCACTTACCAGGAAGAGACTGACGTGTTATTTCTCTTTTCTGTCACACTGACTCTCTTCTCTACTGACAAAAGCAATAAAGAATCAGCGACCAGTGAAGAACGAAGAGAAACACTTTCAAAGGGGATTTTTTTAGACATTTGTTTCTGAATAGAAAGCAGATCTTTGTGATTCTCTTGGTGATTAATTTTTCAAAGCATTGTTGTGAAACTGAAAGTAAAGTTCAGATCGCTGGAGCTCAAACAGTGAAAATGGCTTCACTAAATGTATCTGTAGAAGAGCTTTCTTGGCCTGTGTGCTGTGAAATCTTCAAGACTCCTGTTGTTTTATCATGTAGCCACAGTTTCTGTAAAGAGTGTCTTCAACAGTTCTGGAGAACCAAGAAAGCTCAGGAGTGTCCTGTCTGCAGAAGATCCTCAAAACATGAACCTCCAGTTAATCTTGTGTTAAAGAACTTGTGCGAGTCGTTCCTGAAGGAGAGAAATGAGAACTGTTCATCAGGATCTGAGGAGATCTGCAGTTTACACAGTGAGAAACTCAAACTCTTCTGTCTGGAGGACAAACAGCCGGTGTGTTTAATGTGCAGAGATTCACAACAACATGACAATCATAAATTCAGAGCCATCAGTGAAGTGGTTTCATCATATAAGGTAAGAGAAATTCGTTTTTTAACTTCATGCTGTTACAAAGTCCTATTTAAGTGTTGATTTGAGTGATCAGGACTGGCTGTGTTTAGTCCAGCTGAGCTCCATTATCAATGCAGTTTCACAGATTTGGGGAATTAATAACTACGGGGGCAAATACATTTTCACACTGAGTTTGTATTGAATAACTTTTTTGCATCAGTAAATATCATTGTCATTTACACACTGTCCTTTGTGTTCATTCAGGTTGTGTTTGTTTTATGGTAGATTTTAATTTCTGAATTAATTTTTAATGAAATGTTCACAAAAACAGAAGTAATCAGGAATACTTTTGCACTGCATTATATGATCATATCACTGTATCGTCTTGTCTTCTTCTCTTCACTGTAATCTGGTGTTTGATGTATTTTTGTTTAATTCTAGGAGGAGCTCAATACAGCACTGAAATCATTACAAGAGAAACTTCAACACAATGAAACAATGAAAGGAGAGTTTGAGAAAACAGTTCAACACATCAAGGTGAGGAAACAGAATCCAGAGTCATTTTCATTACAGCTGTAGGATCACTATGTACAGTTCAGTCAGGACCACTATCGTCAAAATGATAGATACTTGGCATAAAGTTTGGTTTGGCGGTATGGTTCTGTTCTGGGCAAAAAACTCCCTGCCCATCCATGCAGCCCGTCATGAATGAGCAGGGAGAGCAGCAATAATAGCCCCCCCTAGGGTTAACAGAACAGAACAAGGCAGATATCATTAATGTACTTGATATTTCAATGTAACACTTTAGTCAAGATAAAGGAGTCTGATTAGCAAGGAATATCAGAAAGCCAAGTCCTGACTGTGGCGAAAGGAGGAGCTGGGGATGGAGGAGGGTAATTTGCTCCTGAGCAAGCTGAAAAGCTGCTGAATAATACTGAATAGAGCTTATATAGGAATGCTGTGATAGGTGTCGTATTCCTATAGGTAGATGTGATCAGCTGAGAATCAGCTGATGCAAGCTTGACTCACGTGACCTGCCAGAACTAACGATAACGCTTAATTTATGATCTGATATATTTAATATAATGGACTCCATTTGATTATTTGTGTAAATGACGGTCATCAATCTGCTTCTGGAACTGTTATATGTCAGTATCTGAGTTTCTCTCAGGTCTGAATGATGTGATGTGTTGATGTGTGTTGATTGAGACGACTGAAGAGAATGTGGTTTGATTTCAGTCTCAAGCTGAGCACACAGAGCATCAGATTAAACAGCAGTTTGAGAAGCTTCATCAGTTTCTCAGAGATGAAGAAGAAGCTACAATCACTGCACTGAGGGAGGAAGAGGAGCAGAAGCAGCAGATGATGAAGGAGAAGCTGGAGGAGATGAACAGACACATCTCAGCTCTTTCACACACAATCAGAGACATGGAGGAGATGATGAGAGCCAGTGACGTCTGCTTTCTGAAGGTCTGATTTTAGATCATTGATTGATTGATGATTGATTTAGTTCTTGATGATCAATGGTGTGTTTGTTCTGCAGGAGTTTCCAGTCTCAATGGAAAGGTGAGTGATCTGCTGCTGTCTCTGCTCTCTCTGCTTCTGATCCAAAGCCACTGCAGTTCTGATCCTGAATGTTCTTCCAGAGTCCAGATCTCATCACAGCCGGATCCACAGACTGACTCTGGTCTCTCTGCTTCTGATCCAAAGCCACTGCCGTTCTGACTCCCGAATGCTCTTCCAGAGTCCAGATCTCATCACAGCTGGATCCACAGATGACTTCTGGAGCTTTGATTCATGTGCCGCGTTATTTGGGCAACCTGCCGTTCAGAGTCTGGAAGAAGATGCAGGACATCGTCCAGAAAAGTGAGTCTGACTGCAGAAGATCTGAGCTCGCACACACACACACTGGAAATGAAGCATGAGGGGGAATATTGACAGATTTCAGCATTATGTGTGAATAACCAGATCATCTATTGCACCAAAATCAGCAGCTTACTTTTAGAAATAATCAATCCCAGAATTCAATGTGCTTGACGTTCCGTTTTCAGTCTCATGAAAGACACAGAAGTGATTTCAGCAGTTTTTATTTTCCATATGATGACTGCTGTTTGTAAACTACTTTATTTTTTATTTATATTTTGAATTGTTTTATTTTTAGATTTTAGTTTAAATAATTTATATGCTTTTGTCATTGTTATTACTTTGAAATAAAATTATTAATATTTACACATTAAATTTTAAGCTAAATTTAAAATTTTTAGTTTTAGCATTAACAATATCAGCAGGATTATTATTGTGGAATACTAACTACTGTTTATTTATTTTTAATAAGTAGACAGCATTCAGTAAAGAGCATTGTGATTCATACAAGAGAAACGGTGAGGAAAATGATATGGATATGAACATTATTTCTTCCGCATTATTATGTTGATAATATATCTCATTTGAATATGAAAACACTGTGTAAAGTTCTGTACAAAGGTAAGATTTTGTATTAAAAACAGCTTCTCACTATAATTTTTTATCAATGACAGCGTAATTCAAATGAATCTCTTTTCAGTATGAGTCACTCTCTGTTTTTTGACTGTCACTTTCAGTCTTGATAAATCACACAGAGACTGACTGACAACGATCAGAGGAAAATGTCTGATGTGTTTGATCAACAGGACGAGTGTCATAATTCATAATAATCTGTGTGTGGTTCACTCTTGATCATTATATGAACATCAGAATAACAGCATCTGTTGATTGTGTCTCATCAGCTCCTGTGATTCTGGATCCAAACACGGCTCATAGAGATCTCGCTCTGTCTGATGATCTGACCAGTGTGAGAAACTGCAGGAACAAACAACCTCCTCCTGATAATCCAGAGAGATTTGACTATTATCACTGTGTTCTGGGTTCAGAGGGTTTTAACTCAGGAACACACTGCTGGGATGTGGAGGTTAAACAGAGTAAATACTGGAGACTTGGAGTAACTACAGCATCAAACCAGAGGAAGGGATGTGATTGTTTTAACGCTGATGTCTGGAGTGTGTATCAGTATGGACGGTCTTTGCGTTCTGGTTTTCGTGTTGAACAGTATCTTGAGTATGTGAGAGTGAATCTGGACTATGACAGAGGAACAGTGTCATTCTCTGATCCTGTAAATCACACACATCTACACACATTCACAACCACCTTCACTCACACACTCTTCCCATTCTTCTATTGTTCTTCCTCTCTGAGGATCTTAGCGATCAATAGTCAGTAATCATTACTCCTGTAGGTCTGGATCTTTCTGCTTTCATCTTTCATCATGTTTCAACATTTAATCACGAGTACGAGACTTGATCTGAATGTCAGTATGGTTGTGATTCATAGTTAGTGATCACTGATGGATATTAAATTACTGATTAAATGTCTATAAATTTCATATTATCTGCAGAAGTGAAGTTAATATCAAGTAATATAATAATATCAAGACAATTAGTAATAGATATTAAACATTTGGGAATAACTTGATATTATTATTTGCCCTGTTGTTGATCTGATTGCTTCTATTGTTCTCCTCAAGTCGCTTTGGAGAAAAGTGTCTGCTAAATGATTAAATTCAAATTTAAATAATGTAAATATATTGTGTTATTTTTTTTTAATCAAGTGTTTTATTGTACTAAATAAAATAAAATAAAAAAAAAACAAAAAAAAAAAATCATTGTTTATCTTAGCTGGCCCATTGGCGATTTTAAGATTCATATTTTTAGGCTAATTGACATTAATTGTTTGATTGAAATGCGTCTCTGGTTTCACATAAATTTGTATATAATAATATCATATATTTCCCCTAATGTTGATTTGAGTTACACAGATTAAATGATCATTTCTTTATTGAAGTAAATGTATGCAAAAGATTCTTGCTATACTGAAAAAAATGTTTTCATTCATCCAATTAAAAAAATTTCTTGCCAGAATGGGCGGGGAATCTGGCTATATAAGCGGGCACTTCGCCATAGGATCCACAGGTTACTTCCACTGAAGCGACGACTGAGTCGTGCAGATACAGTACATAGCACGGCCAACAACGCAGTACTCATTCCCGTATCTCAGGGAACCGAGGTTACGTTAGTAACGTTAGCTGGAGTACATTCCCTATCGATACTTCACTCATACTGCGTCTGCTAAGACGCTATGGGGAACCAGTACAATCCCGCCATGCTATGCTAGAGGAACGACTAATACTTGAACTTGCCTTGAGCACCAATGGGGCCCAGAGGGACCAAGTATTTTGCAGGGAAGCCCCGCAGGAGGCAATAGGGCCAAACTCGCAGAGGTCGGCCCGGCGCCGAGTAATCGTTCCAAGAGAAATTGTACAGCCTCGGAACCAAGTGGGGGCCAAGAGCATACAGTGATGAAGGCAAACGCCTGAAGCACTGGTTTTGCTATATGGCCAGAGTAAGTCTGTTTAAGCAGAAAGGACCCGAGCCTGTAAGGCTGAGACATCCAGATTATAAAACTTTGCAAATGTGGACGGCGAGGCCCAGCCGGCTGCCACACAAATTTCTGCAATGGACACACTGCTAGACCAAGTCCAGGAAGAGGCATGGACCCGAGCCTGTAAGGCTGAGACATCCAGATTATAAAACTTTGTAAATGTGGACGGCGAGGCCCAGCCGGCTGCCACACAAATTTCTGCAATGGACACACCGCTAGACCAAGTCCAGGAAGAGGCATCGCCTCTTGTTGAGTGGGCTCTTACTCCCATGGGGCATTGTAGGCCCAAAGAAGCGTATGATAGCGCGATAGCGTCGATTATCCATTTAGAAAGTTTTTGCTTCGTGACCGGAGACCCTCTGGTGCGGTCACCAAAGCATACAAAACGCTGTTCCGACTGCCTAAACGGGGTGGAACGCTCAATATATATTCTCTATATTGGTCCTGCTCCGAAGGAGGAAGCACCGAAAGAGCTATTACCTGTGCTCTGAATGGAGTCGAGAGCACTTTAGGTACTTAACCATGCCTCGGCTTCAGGACGACCTTGGAGTCATTGGGCCCGAATTCGAGGCAGGTGGGGCTCACCGAGAGTGCCTGAGCGGCTCGAAGGGAGGTCTCTTCAGAGCCCTCAACACCGTGGGCAGGTCCCATGTAGGGACGGTGATAGGGCGAGGTGGGTTGAGCCTCCTAGACCCCTTCAAAAAAACGAACAACTAGGTTCTTGCCCACCGACTGGCCAGCTATAGGAGCATGTGAGGCTGCTATGGCTGCTATATAGACCTTGAGCGTGGAGGAGGAATGAGCCTTATCCAAAAGCTCTTGCAGGAAGGACAATATCATAGATATGTCGCAGGAAAATGGGTCTGCGCTGCGGGCTGTACACCAGGCGGAGAAGACAGACCATTTAAGGGCATAGAGTAGCCTCATAGAGGGTGCATAGATCCATGCACTTCGTAAAACTGCGAGGAGCTAGGGACAGTCCAAAGGGAAGGACCGTGTATTGATATGCCACTCCCTCGAAGGCAAATCACAAGAATCGCCTGTGGTGGGGGGCTATCTGGATGTGGAAGTAGGCATGCTTGGAGGCACAACAGAGGCTGCTTGGGCGGTGGTCCGGCGAAGGTGAGATTTTGCCCCCTCCTCTTCCTGTCCCGCAGATAAGGTTGGTGCCTGAGGCGCCGGGTCCAACACTACCTTAGGCCGGGGTCCCTGGCGCTTAGGGAATGGATAGCGTCTGGCCGAGCGGGAGAGATTTCGGGCCTCAGGCTTAGAGGCTGGTAGTGCAGCTGATAATACGGGCTTCACGGGCTGCTGAGTCGGCGCCGTCTTGGGGCGACTGGCAGCAGCTGCAGAGCTGGAGATCCAAGGCTGGCCATGAATCTGCCGATCAACTGAGCCGTCATCTTCATGGACCGCAAAGCCAGGTCGGTCGCACTGCGCAGCTCTTTGAAAGCTGTGGCATCCAGTCCAGACTCATCCATGTTCTGGAGAAGTTTGGCCTGAAGGACCTTGTAGGACCGCCATAGAGTGAAGCGTCGAGGCCGCTTGTCCAGCTGATGTGTAGGCCTGTCCAGCGAGCGCTTTAGTCATCCTACATGGCTTGGACGGGTGGGCGTCCTTTGCCTTCCAGCCGATGGCCAGGGGCGGGCAGAGATGCGCAGCCAATGATTCATCCAGGGGAGGCAGTCTGTCATACCCCTTTTCTTCGGCGCCGTCGACCGTTGTGAGGGTGGATGAAGAGGAGGCACGCAGGCGGGCCGAGTAAGGGGCGCGCCAAGATCTGGTGATCTCATCATGGACCTCTAAGAAGAACGGTGAAGCTCGTTGTCGAGGGGCTTGACGGCGCCCCGGCAAGAACCATTCATCCAGGCGGCTGCGTGTGGGCTCCTCCAGTGGAGACCAATCCAAGCCCAGCTCTTGCACAGCTTTAGACAGGACGCGGAACAGTTCGGCGTCCATGCCCGTGCTGGCTGTGCTGGGCTCCGCAGACGGCAGGGGAGCGGGGTCGAAAGACGAGCCCGACAGCTCCTCCGCATTTGAAGCAGCCAGAGACACACTGTCGTCCATGGCGTCACACAGCCTCCTGGGAGGAAGAAAGCGGGAGGGCGCGAGGGGCGGAGTCGCTTTCTGAAAAGAAAGCTATCCACGAGCGCAGAGAGGCGAGACTCATATCCTCGCAATGAAGACATTCCGTCTCAGTAAGTGCAGCTTCAGCATGGACAGCGCCCAAGCATGAAAGGCACTCGCCGTGACTGTCAGTGGCATGAACAGTTCGGCGTCCATGCCCGTGCTGGCTGTGCTGGGCTCCGCAGACGGCAGGGGAGCGGGGTCGAAAGACGAGCCCGACAGCTCCTCCGCATTTGAAGCAGCCAGAGACACACTGTCGTCCATGGCGTCACACAGCCTCCTGGGAGGAAGAAAGCGGGAGGGCGCGAGGGGCGGAGTCGCTTTCTGAAAAGAAAGCTATCCACGAGCGCAGAGAGGCGAGACTCATATCCTCGGAATGAAGACATTCTGTCTCAGTAAGTGCAGCTTCAGCATGGACAGCGCCCAAGCATGAAAGGCACTCGCCGTGACTGTCAGCGGCATGCAGGCACGCACGAGCCCTGCACAAGCGACAGTAGCAGCCCGGCATTTGAAACAAGGCCGGAAATTTGCTTTTATAGTAATAGTTGGATAGCGGCAGGGGACCGGGAAGACCACAGTTGCTGCAGACTCTGAAGGCGGCTGAAGAGCGGCGAAGTCAGCCGAGCAGGAAGGGGTCTTGATCCGCTGCGATGCTTGTTCACGGCGAAGGCTTCGAGTCTCGTAGAGCAAAGATTGGTTCATTTTTAATTCACTGCACAAACCAATGGCCGTGCAGTTATACTGCGTTATTGAAAAGCAGACGCAGTACGAGTGAAGTATCGATAGGGAACTATTTTTATTTTATAAAACCTGACACAAAGTATATTTTTCTTGTTGAAGAAAGTCAATTAATTTAAATTGTATTTTTGATCTAAACAAAAAGTTATAGATCTAATCAAAACAAAAATTCTCATTTAAGAAATAATATTATAAATTATTTGTTTTCTCCAATAAAATAGATATAGCTTTCATTAAACAATTATTTCTAATTTTTAAAAATAAAAGCTATTAGAAATTATTTGTTTTAAACAAACAAAAATATATGGATTTAATAAAACATGATTCCCATTAAGGAACATTACTTAATATTTAATCTTATCCAAAATCTAATAAAAAAAATCTATTTTCATTACATCAATATTTATTCATTTATTGTACATTACTTCCATACATCCACAATTTCAGATTTTTAACTTCTAAGAGCTGGCAAACATTGACCATACACTGAAAAAAAATATAACCCTGTGTAACTAGAACGTTAACTCAACACTCAATGACTCACGCTATTTCTGTCAGACATCTACAGAAGTGCTTATTGAGAATGAACAGAGGTTTATATGTTGTTCTTTTTTTTGACACAACCATGATGGAGATCAGTGTTTGCTTTAGTTGGGCTCTTGACCCTTGACTTTTTAACATTATCTTTTATTTGGCTGTTGTAACCATTGTTGTTGCAAAAAAGGGCAAGGCGAAATATGTAATATTGTTGATTATGTTTGGTTAATGACATAATCATCATTAAACACCAGGTTCACTGATTTTATCCAGTTCCTCTCCTCTTACCAAAACAATGTTATAATAACACACAAGAGCAAAAGAATGAGCAGTGCTGATCAGGCTGTTATGAAAGATTGTTAAACACATCAGTCACAAAAAAAAAAAAAAAGCTCTGATGTGCTATGAAACGTCTCAGGTTACATATGTAACCATGGTTCCCTGAGAAGGGAACGAGACACTGCGTCCTCTAGGGGTCGCTATGGGGGAACGCCTTAAGCGTTGAAGAGCTTCAGCAGTGTCTGAAGCATACACCTAAAAACGACAATAACATTGGTCGGCAACAGCCTATGACGTCATTCCCCTGCGTGATCACAGTATAAAAGGGCGCCGGGATA